GGCGCCGCGCCGGAAGTGCCCCGGCCGCCGAGCGAGCACAGCGGGCGCCCAGCGGCCCGGCTGGCGAGAAGGCCCTCTCTGCTCCTGGGCCCGGCAGGGGCTGCCTGGAGCGGGCGGCAGCGGCGCCGCAGCCCCGGGCCCGCTCCGAGACACGGCGCGGCCCACGCGGGCGGCGGCTCCCTGGGAGAGGAACGGGTGGGGAGCAGGACGCAAGGAGGCCGCGCAGAGGCCAGGCGGCGCGCTCGCAGGCCCTGAGGTCTGGGCGTCGGCACTGCACCCACATGGCCTCCGGAGTGGGCGCGGCCTTCGAGGAGCTGCCACACGACGGCACGTGTGACGAGTGCGAGCCGGACGAGGCCCCCGGCGCCCAGGAAGTGTGCCGGGAATGCGGCTTCTGCTACTGCCGCCGCCACGCAGAGGCGCACAGGCAGAAGTTCCCGGGGCACCGCCTGGCCGAGTACGTCCATGGCTCCGCCCAGGCCTGGACCTCGGGCGGCCCGGGGGAGAGCGAAGGGAAGGAGGACGTCGAGGCGAAGGCGGAGAACCAGAGAGACGTAGAGGTCGAGATGGGGGAGGAAAGCGAGTCCCAGGAAGACAGTGAGTCTGAAGAAGAGAGCGAGACCGAGGAAGAGAGCGAGGAGGAGAGCGACGAGGAGAGTGAAGAAGACAGTGAGGAAGAAATGGAGGATGAGCAAGAGAGCGAGGCGGAGGAAGACAACCATGAAGATGGAGAATCGGAGGCTGAGGGAGAAACTGAGGCAGAAAGCGAATTTGACCCAGAAATAGAAATGGAAGCGGAGAGGGTGGCCAAGAGGAAGTGTCCGGACCATGGGCTCGATTTGAGCACCTATTGCCAGGAAGATAAGCAGCTCATCTGTGTCCTGTGTCCAGTCATCGGGGCTCACCAGAGCCACCAACTCTCCACTCTAGACGAAGCCTTTGAAGAACTGAGAGTAAGTATTGTGCTATTCGGAGCGTTGGCCTAGAGGTCAGGCCACCTGGGTTTCCACTCAGGTGGCGTAGTTGTGGCCACGTGCGCTTTGGTCCTGTCCCTGAAAAGCTAGTGTATTGAGCTTCTTGGGAGCAGTGCTTATTCACCCTTGTGGTTGAACCCCTTGGAGAATCACTGGACGCTGAAAGCTCTGGACTCTCTGACCCAAGAAAAATATACGTACATACATGCAAAAGCTATACACAATTTCTGGGAAATTGCAAGCTTCTGGTCTCTGGATCCCAGGTAGAGCATTCCTTGGGCGTTTTGACCCCACTTAAGCCAATCCCCCCAGCACCAGCATTGCTGAGATCAGTGCGCGGCCGGAGTGGTTTTGGTAAAGCAATCTCTTTGCCTTATCAAAACATGGGAAACCTTGCTTTTACCAAATGAACCCAAGCAGGTGGTTCCTCTGTAGCGTAAAGACTCCCTGAGGTTGTGGTTTTGGTAACTTCATGTGTGCCCTGAGTTCCTTTGAGGTTCTTCATATTTGATGCTTATTCGGAAGGGAGAATGAGAGGGTGGACGCAAAATTGGAATGGGAGTGGGGGTTCCCATGTCCTCCATCTTTTGGAAGAGGTCTTTTGGGCCTTTATCTTGAACTTTGCCGGTTCCCTAGAACAGTGTTTGTCAAGTAGTAGACATTAATAAATGTTGAATGAATGCATTTGCAAGTGATTTGTCTTTTACTTATATTGTGGATTTTTACAATCAGTGAGAGAAACTGCTGGAGTTAAAGATTGAGTGTAGAGATCAGTTCATTACGTGATCGGTTCATTAGTGAACGATGTCATCTTATGAAGACTTTTGTTTCGCTAAGCAACCCTGTAATTGCTGGTGCTGCAATAAATACTTTGATAATGAAAATCCCCTGTATTCAGATTTTCCCTTTTTATTGTAAAATACACACACGAAATGTGTAAAAACATGCACAACCAATAAATACTTATGAAGCAAATACTGACATAACCTCCACCCAGACTAAGAAATATTAGTAGCAGTAGTGAAGCCCCATGACCTTGTCCTATTATAACCATCTCCCTTCTCCATAGGTAACGATTATCTCGACTTTTGCAGTGATAATTTCCTTGCTTATCTTTATACTTTTATCACATACGTATGCATTCCTAAACTGATGTGAACTTAACGCAACTGGTATCATATTGTTATCATTAATTCTTTGGGATTTTGCTTCATTTTTTTCAACATTATGTTTGTGAGATTCATCTCGTGGGTGGCTGTTGTTTGTCCATTGTCGTTGTATAGAATTCCATTTTATGAATATGCCACAAGTTACCTGTTCTCCGTAATGAACATTTGATTTCCAGATTCTGAAGCTTCCGGCTATTATAAACACGTTGGTATAACCATTCTTGTTTATGTCTCCAGGTGCACATCTACATATATTTAAATGGAATATAAACCAAAGAGTGTGATTGTTGGGTCATAGACTGTGCGTATTTTTTATAGTACTAGATATTGTCAGCTATTTTCCAAAGTGGTTGTACCAATCAATTTGCATTGTCATAGGTGTTTGAGAGTTCTTGTTGCTCTGTATCTTCACCAACTTTCTATAACAGAATTTTTAATTTTTTAATCAACCTTATGGATCTGTAATATCTTCTTGTGGTTTGAATTTGCGTTCCCCTGGTTACTGATGACCTTGAGTATATTTTGTATTTCTTCTTTCAAAGTGCCCATTCAGGTCTTTTGCTCACTTTTCTATTGGATTGTATATCTTTTTTCTCATTAATTTGTAGGAGTTATTATATATTTCTGACTTCTTTGTTGTTTATATGGGTTGCAATATTTTCTACTATTTTCTCTTTTTCTTTCCTTTTTAAAAAAAATGTGCCTTGAATAGGAGTTCTTCATCTTAATATATTAGAATTTATCAATAATTTCTTTATTGTTAGTGCTTGTTGTGTCTTGTTCCACTTACTATTGCTTTTTGTGTAGTGGAGGCAGGAGCTCAATTTCATTTTCTCCCCCATGCAGATAACCAGTTGCTCTAGCAGCGTTTATTGAAAAGCCTGTCTGTCCTTTTTGCACTGATCTGCTATGCCACCTGTCATATATCAAGTGCCCACATGTGTATGAATGTGTTTCTTGGGGTTTTTTTGGTCTGTACTGTTGATCTATTAGTATATCCCTGTGTGAACAACATGTTTTCTCAGTTACCATAGCTTTATAACATGTCTTACTATCTGGTAGAGCAAGTTCTTCTACTTTGCTCTTGTAGAACTGTTACATAAAATCAGCCTGCAGGACTTTTTTCTATTGTATTGAATTTATAATCCAATATATGAAGAATTAATACCAACAAGTATTAATTACAACAAGTCTTCTGATTCATTTATTTGGTTATTTTTTATTACCTCACAATAAAGCTTTATAATTTGTTTTCTACAAAAGATCTTGTACATTATTATAAAACTTACTCCTGGATACTTACAATTTGATATTACTGTAAAAATGTTTTCAAATTGTATACAGAAACATGACGAACTTTTCTATATTGATTTCTGTGTTAGGGTATCTGCTAAATCCCCTTACATAGTGTCTAGTAATTAATCTGTAGACTCATTCTACGTTACCTGATCATATTGCCTGCAAAGAGGGCCAGTTTTTTATTCTTTCCAATCCTTATACCTGTTATTTGTTTTTTCTTGCTTTACTGCTTTGGATGGGATGACCAGTATAATGTTGAATAGAAGTGATAGTGGATATTCTGGCCTTGTTTCTAATTGAGGGATAATTTAACAACCTTTCACAAGTAAGTGTAATAGAGTTTGTTTTTTCACAGATATATTTCATCAGATTAAGAAAGCTTCCTTCTGGTCCTAGTTTGTAAAGAGTTTTCCTTAATATTGAATGGATACTGAATTTTATCACATGATTTTTTGCTTCTTTTGGGATGTTTGTGTGATTTTACTCTGTTACTATGTTAATGTGATTAATTACATTAATTTAAATTTAATTTAAAATTAGTAATATGTTCACATGTCTCAAAAGCCTCTCTTTCACCTTTGCCCCTTTCACCTGGCTCCCCCAACAACTATTGGTAATCACGTTTATTAAAAATTTTTTGCCTATTCTTCAAGTGTTTCTTTTAGCAAATATAGGCATGTGCATATATATAGTCTTATTTGCATCCCTTTGTGTCCTTATTATTATATTGTGCAATTAAAGACCATGTATTTCTGTGATAAACCCAGCTTGGTCATGAGGCAGTATCTTTGTATTTTTGAATTTAGTTTAATAATTTATGTAGGGGTTTTTTTTTCATTTATATTTAGGGGAGAAATTAGCTTTTAAATTTTCTTACTTATACTGTCTTCATGAGATTTTGCTATCAAGGTTATGTTAGCTTCATAGTATGAGTTAAGTTGTTTGCTTCTTAATACTTTCTTTTAATGCTCTGGAAGTGAATGTATAAGATTGGAATATTTCTTCCTAGAATGATTGGTAGAAATGACCATGGAAACCACCTGGACCTGGAAAGAGAAGGAGAGTGGGGAAGAGGAGGGGGAAGACGAGGGAAGGGAAGGGGGAGAAGGGGAGAGGGAGGGAAGGAGAGAGAATATTGTTATTTTGATTTGTATACTATTTTTGGGTATGAGTCAATTTCTTTAATGGTTATAGGTCTGTCCAGGTTGTTATTTTCCTTAAGTCAATTTTGATAAGTTACATTTTCCAGAAGTTTGTCCATTTTGTCTAAATTTTCAAATGTATTAGTATAAATTTGTGAATCATATCCTCTTATTATCTTTATTCATAGTAGAGCTATTCTCTTTATTCCTTTAAGAACAGTAAGCATGTTTGTTTATAATCTCTCTGATAATTCCAGTATGTAAAGACTTTGTGGATCTCTCTCTGCTATTGTTTTTGATGTTTTTCATGTTTCTTTATTTTCTTGTGTGCTTAATTGACTGTGTAGCTTCTCATTGCCCTTAAAAAATTATTTGTGAGGATTTCCCAAGCCTTGGCATGAAACTATATTCTTCGAAAGAAGATTTGAGTTTGCATCTGGTAAAGTATAAGAGTAAACTTGTTTAGAACCCTCTTAAACTGAATTAATGTGTGAGACAAAATTTTCAGGCAGTATCTGCCGAAGTTTATAACCTCTTAAAGATTTTCCTTTTATCCACCTCAAGCCATCCTCCACCTGCCCCAAACCCATTTTGTTCAGCTCCAAGGCAACACTCCCTCCCCACAGTCACTTTTGGAGGGTGAGATAGTGGCAAATTTACTTTAGTTTGCCTTTAATCTAGGATTTTACTCTTTGGCAGTTGTAGGAGGATCCCAAGTCTGTATGGAAAGGGCTTCCTTTAATGTCCCACTCTGAGTATTTCATAGGCCTTGCTTTCACTTGCTTTCTCTTCCCCTACCACCTCACTTTCCGCCGCTAATCAAATGCACAATCCAGTGTCTGTTGGTCCGTAAATGTGCTGAGATCAAAAGGTGCTTACTGTACTCGGCTTATCTTAACACTGGAACAGTATTACTAACTAAACTATAGACCTTTCAGAATTCACCAATATTTCCTCTCATGACTTCTGTACCAGGATCTTTTGGTCACATTACATTTTCTTATTTATGATGATGACCTTGATAGTTTTGAGGAGTGCTAATCAGGTGTTTTGTAGAATGTCTCTCAGCTTGGATTCATCTGATGTTTTTCTCATGGTGAAACTGGAATTATGGGGTTTTGGGCGATATAAATTCTCTTTTGTGCTTTTCTTTTTTCAATTAGCAATATGTCTTGGAAATTACTTTATAGATCTGCTGTTTACTTTAAAATTTATTTTACAGCTACAAATACTCCATTGTGTGTCTGTTGCTCATTAAATTCTTAACCTATGATATTGTATTTATAACTCTAGAATGCCTATTTGGTTACTATTTAAAGACCTATTTCTGAATTTTGGGGGGTCTGATTCTATGTCATATTTTTGTGAT